TATCTGATATAATAACAAGCTCATCTTGATCTCTTATCACGCAAAGTTAGTCTTGTTTCAGTATTGAAGATTAGACATCAGCCAAAGGCTCAATAGTTTCTTATTTCAAATCAACCATTGCCAATTAGTTCGTAGTCTTAAGGACAAGAAGTGAAAGATTATCATATTCAAAATTTGGTACTTGCTTAATACAGCAGTAGTTATAATCAGTTGCATAATTTTTAATTTCTCTAAGAGTTTAACCAGATATTCTATCAAATAACTTAAGATGAAGCTCTTAAAAGATACATAGAAGAAGCAATGATTCATTTATAGTAGCCAAGGCGTTAATTGATTTCCCTAAGAAGTAGGATTGATTTGGAACATTGGATATAGCGAGTTCTTCATTAGATTTTTTAAGACTCATAATTATCAAACTATAAGTTTTATTCAGCCCTGTGCAGTTGAGTCCTATAGCAAAGCAGATATCATCTCCATTAGAGGAAATCTGTGATAGATCCTAAACAGAATTAGCATCAGGTAGCTGTATCTTATTTAAAATGCTCTCTTGTTTGATGCTAATTAGTTCCATCTTACAGTCTGTTAAAGAGCATAAAAGATAATCGTCTCCAAGCAAAATCATCTTAGTCAGCAAGTCACCTAACTTGATAATATTTCTTGATTTTCGTTGATTGTTGAGATCATACTTTTGAATTTCGAATACCGAGCCAAAGATATAGAAGTCCGAGGTTTATAAGACAATCTTTGGATTGATATCAAGCATAAGTCTTTTCTATTAATATTTGCCATTAATTCTTTGATTATAATTCACGAACTAACAACCTCCTTTATCCTTGAATACTAATTGATGGTAAACTTGAGTTCTCTCATTCTTATCTTTGCTCAAAGATATCAATTATGGCTTAATCCTATTATTTTTAAAACTTGGAATTTCTGGAATTTCTAAGAAAATATCCTCGGGAACCACTTCTTGCTACTCATGTTCTTACTGTATCGGAGGGAAAAATTCGAGCATAGTTTCATCAATCAATTATCCGTCGACTTATTAACCAAATATTCCAACTACAATTGTTGCTGTTACTTCATTTTCATTACCCTGTTGCCCAGGAGCACTTTTAGAATAATCTACCTTTACTTAGTTTTTAATCAACTATTGCTAAATCTTATCCAAATTTTCATTGCCTTAAATGTTGCCTATACTATTATTTATTAGTTCTAACCCCAATTTCTCAGGGGTTATTTAGGTATTGATGTCATCAATATTAAAATTCTAAAGCTCTTTACTATATAATTGGCTATGATCTCTAGTAATTTACTATGAAAGACTTTTATGAGTTTAATTCATTTAATCATTTAACTTGCTATTTGTTTAATCTTATATCCTATTAATCTATTCAAGGTTATCCTTAGTCATTCCAATACCATCATCCATCATTTCTTCACACTGCTTGAATAAATTATTAGATTTCTTTGATAGATTTAAATTATACTCAGACTACTTCTATATAATTTAATCTAACTTATTCATTTTCTCATTAGTTTCTTCAATTATCTTATTCTTACGTTTTAGATCTATTTTTTCTAGTTCTTATTTTTCTTCTTTTGATACTGACAATAATTTTCCAATTCTACTATAAATTGTTTCAAGTGTCAAGAGTATTATTTTGTTTTATCACTTGAAGTTATTCGAGCTCGTAGTTAAGGTAAAATCATTAAGTTATACTCTTAAAGGTTCAAGCATATCTATTATAGATTAGAGAAATTCCTTGTAGTAACTCCCATCCGGGTTAAGTACATTTTTTTTTAATTTCTGCATATCATCTTAACTTATGGCTTCATTAAAATAATCAGATTTTTCGACTCTAGGGGTATTTGGCATTGGAAGCTCCATTTATATTATTTATCCAACAAATAATTAAAGATCCAAATCTCTCAATAATTGCATCTTGGGGTTTTGGGGTTTTGGGGTTTTGGGG